AACCGGTGTAATGTGATTCTCTCCTGTAATGCTGGTTTGATAGGGAAAACCGTTGTGTAAGAAGTTGGGTAGAAACTGACGACGGAGAACACTTGCACTGGGAGGAACTCCACGAAAAGCGAGAGACTCGACTCGGAATACTATACAATACGTTCTCACCCAGACCGTGGTAGAGAAAAACAGTGAAAGGCAGGACCTCAGCACAAGGCGAAGCTGACCCAGAAATGGACTTTCTGACTAGATCGTAGAGAGCAACAACAAGAACTATCACTCGGCGAGACGCGAGGGAAGATTCACCAACTGTGTCCCCTCGACAAGATCTCTCCCATCGTAGTGACAGACCGCAATCTATCTGTGCACCACGTATGGCTTGAGAGGGACAATCGACGTGCAGTATTTTAGACTACAGTAGGTGCATTTTCTGATTCAGTCACTCGCGACAGAGCAGAACCGGGGAAGTGTGGTGGTAGAATGTGATTCTCCCCTGTAGCGCTGGTTCGTTTTGTAAGGCGTTGGGTAGAAAGTGACGGCGGAGAACACTTCACTGGCAGGATCTCCGCGAAAAGCGAGAGACTCCACTCGGAATTATTTTCGTTCCACCCAGGCCGTTTTTTTTCTTTCTTTTTAGGGTTACCTCGCATAGCGTGTAGAGGCGAGCGGAGTGGTCTAGATTATCTGTCGTTGGCTTTTTTGGCTTGCGGACCCTTCGGGTCCATTATATTTTCGTATATCTCTCTTGGGTAGTAAGTTTGCCTGTGACCACGGGAATCGACCCCGTCAAGTGTTAGACTAATACGGACAGAAGAAGGTACTGTGGGCAGCAACAACAACAACAACAACAACAACAACAACAACAGACCGTGGTAGAGAAAATCAGTGAGAGGCAGGACCTCAGCAGAAGGTGAAACTGACCCAGAAATGGACTTTTTGGCCAGATCATAGAGAGCAACAACCAGAAGTACACGCGGCGAGACGCGAGGCAAGATTCGTTAACTGTGTCCCCTCGACTTGTAGATCTCTCCCATTGTGTAGTGGCAGACCGCAATCTGTCTTTTTACCACATATGGCTTGAGAGGGACAATCGATGTTCAAATTCTTCTGTCTGCTGTCATTCGCGGCGCTGGGGCATCATATGCGCCGGCTGATGTAGCATTTTGGTTTGGCATTGAATATGCGCCAACAAATCAATCATGAAGCAAGATGAATTCCTCATGTACGCTCGTGTCACTGAGGTGAATGATGGTATATATTCACCCCCGAAACTAGATGTAGTGCGCATGTAACCGCTCTGGGTAGACTGCAACATATGTAATGGCTCAAGCTTCTGAAAATACGCGTTCAACCACAGGAATACGTATACCTGTACGTCTACGATACATGCGTTTTGGCGGCGGCGCATGATGCGGCGTGAATCGATGATATATTTCATTTCCTCGTCGGGTCGTCCGAAGAGGAACCTCCCGATTCAAACCTTTCCTGGTATCCCTCCCGATTCTCCTCTGCGAACCCCCCCCAGCCCCTTTTGCCTTGCCTTGCTTGCCTCTCCGTCCCTCTCCTTGGACACACGCGATCTCTGCTTGGCCAAGGACAAGCACCGTGCCCAAAGGCTTAGGATCAGCGATAAGACGACATGGTAATGGCGGAAAACGCCGCTGCTCGCCGGGGTGGTCGCCGCTCCCCGACCTCTCTCTTCCGAATCAAGGATCTTCACTAGCTAATCTTCACGCGCATCTGGCGGTCATGATCCTCCTACTACTGCCGCAGGCCACCGCCCTCAAACCGGCGCATAAGAAGAAGCAGATGGAGGACATGGAGCGGTTATACCTATACTCGTGCGCCGACCTGCCGGCCAGCCGTAACGGGCTTCACAGCCTCGTACACATCAGGGATGGCATCATTTGTGACGAGACCAAGGTGTGCTGTTCTCTGCTGTCTGGGTTGTGCGATCCGGCCGATCCCGTTGCTGTTTTTGAGTTGGGTGTGCAGCGTGCTTGTCCGATCTTCTGTCGGCGCATGAAACTGCGATATCGAGGCGTGCAGTGAGGTCTCCCATGCACCCCCTCGAGATCGAATCGTCTCGGCAACCTCATTGGTGTCCGCCAACAAGAGGGTCAGAGTTTTTTGGAATATGTAGCCGGTGACGTTGTTTAATGTCTGAGACGGGCCCACTTTCCACCCGCGGCTCAGACAAAAACCTCTCACCAAACCACCCTCACTTTTTTTGAGGCGGGGGTTCCTGTTCAAAAGGTCCAGGTTTTTTAGCAGCATCAGAGTAATAGTAAAGCACAAGAAGATGGCATCACAGGGTACAGACTCGTCCGAGCCTCCAGTCACGAAACCACCGGACAGACAGACCTCCTCCGATCTGGGCCGTGTGCGTCTACAGCATATGTATGTGTATGTGTATGAGGTGATCGCTGTGGAAGGAACCGACAAGGAAGGGTTGGATGAGACAAGTTCGCGTATCACCAACCTCAAAATAGGGCAACTTGTCGACAAACAGTTCAAGCTGTACCTGGTAGACCACTCGAACTGCTGGTAGGTGGCCCAAAAGTTGCCTTGTGTTACTCTCTATCGGCGCCACCCCCTCTAGACAGCTGTTGCGGTTTGCAATGCTGCTAAAAAAGTCGCTGTGTGAGGGTCTGCTGCTGCTGCTGCTGCTGCTGCTGCTGCGACAGCTAGCTGCTTCTGAACGAACCGTCACTTTCTCTCTCTTTCGCTTGATTGGAACAAGCGGCTGAGAGTTTGCTTGCAAGAAAAGCCTTTACATAGGGTACTTCTCTGCGGTGACAACACCCGGCACCTTGGATGATAGCAGCAGCCAACCAAGCAACAACAGCTATTTTCTTTCGTGTAGACAACAGGGAAGAAGCGGCGTGGGGAACGGCGCACGCGAGTCTTGCGGTCAACTAGCGGGGAGGCTTTTGCCACGTCATGCCGAGAAAACTCTGAGCCTCTTTTCGGATCTTTTTTATGCCAATTTTTGTCTGGGCAATTTTGCGTGACCATTTTGTCTGACGAAAACGAAACAATTTTCCGAAACTCCCCAATGTTTCGGTGCATTTCTTGGAGCAATTGTTAGGGAGCATGTACATAGATAGAAAGGTGTCAGCAGAATCCGAGATGCTCTCGCACAAAGAGTTGAGATTGGGCGTTCGCTGTACCTCCGCGCGCTCAGCCGGAACTGTCAATGATTACAAAATCAAGAAATGTGGGTATATCTCGAGTGGGTAGTATTTCTGTGTGTGTGTTTTATTATTCCTTAATTAAGAAACACCCTTTACTTTGTTGGTGGTACCGCGAACCGCGAAACTAATTGGCAACACGTGACACAATATAATATCCTGCACCCATTGATGTGACCTTGCCCCAAATCAGTACCGTTTCTTTTCACGGGATGATCGTTTCTCGAAAGGGAATGGTCAACTGCGGCTTTTCAAGAAAACAAGGTTTCCTCGGGTTCGACGTGCAGGGTCTTGTACCATAGACTACCGCGAGGCTGGCGGGTTTCTGTGTACTTAGTTGACCCAAAAACGTCGTATGTGGACGCAGTTGTTGTTTGGGTGAAGAAATCATGAACGGCAATGCTCGGCGACGAAGGAGCTCGGACACGATGGTGCCTGCACGTAGTAGTCCGTTTAGACGCAAATGGTTTAGGCTGTTGGTGAGGTTCACGGCCCACCGCCTCATATACCGGGCACGTGTGTTTGAAAGCGAGTGGGTCGCAGCGAGGGGGGGGGCGCGGGGGGCGTAGAAGATTGGGAACTATCACAGCGGTCGGAGCGGTTGCTTTAACAGTGTCTCTCTGCAAAGTCATGTAGGTTTCATGAACAACAGAAGAACCACTTCAGATAAATCAGCAATCAGTGTGTCCGAGTTGAGACCATACCTTGCCCCGGTGGTCTAGTTGGTATCCTCGAAACCTTCTAGAGGTCAGGTCAGGGGTTCGAATCCCGGCGTTAGCGAGCTTTTCTTGCAACGGGAGTTTTTCTCTCGCTTCCGCTCCTGGTCTAGTGGATAGCGCTAGTTCGTGTGTACACAGAGGGAAGAGAGTGCTGAACTCTTCTCGCATTAAAAATCGAAGCAAAGTACCGCAGGAGGGGAGGGTAGAGACGGGCTCTTCTGTGTGACCACGGGTTGGAGCAAACGGCACTAGTGCTGTGAGCGCTGATTTAAAGTGAAGACAAAAAAAAAACTTTCGAAAGTCGTGAACTTGAACCCCCACATCAGACAGAAAGCTGCACAGATAGTCCCCGCTGCCTTCTCTGGAAGAAACAAGCTACGAAAGTCGCTAAAAACAAACGTGTTTATCACAAACCGCCCGGTTCTTCGTACTACCGAGCAAGGTGAAATCTAACAACGCCGTTTACCTGATACCGCTGTCAGGTGATCGAGGTCACCAAGGGAGAGCAGGAGGCTCTGTTCATCGGTGCGCCTGCTGCGCGGGTGAAGGGCGTGAAGTTTGAGGTTCGCGAGGGAGCGAGCATGTACTTTGGTGGTGAAGCATGCTTCTTCGAACGGAACGAGGCGCGTTGTGTTTCGAGCCGTTTCTTCGTGTATCTTGTCCGGTAGCCTAGGAATGCCGTCAGTTCCAACGTACCCGACGAACCTCTTGCCTGCTGCATTGTTGAACAAAACTCGATGTTTGCAGAAGAGATCGAGCCAGTTACACCGTGCTGGACATACACGAGCCATCAAACCGACAAAGTGTACCCGAGAAAGCCAAAATGACACCCAATTTTCTACAGTCGCTTCTTCTAAAGAGTGCCGAGCGGCCAACATCGGCTGCGCTGCGGTGGTGCTGCTCGGCACAGTGTCAAAAATTGATCTTGCCACCTTGCCAAACATTTTACGACTGGTTGGGGGCTTTGACCCGTCTTCGCCGCGGTACAGCAAAACCTACATGCGCCCACCCAACGCTCTCTCTTACTCAATCACCTGTTCGCTCGTCCATGTTCCCCCCACGATGTTGGTGTCGGTATCGATATTCGTGCCGTTTAATGATAGGGGACACTGAAGGAGTTTTTAAGGTGGACGGCAAGATCACATTTCACGCGGACAACCCCGAGTACACGCTGACGGGGGAGACGACGGTGGGTGCTTTTATTCTATTGTTGTTGTTAAGGTTGTTGTTGTGGTTGTTGTTCACGATGATCATGTTGTGGCAGTCGTAGGTGGTTGCGGCTGCTGCTGATTTCTGGTGCTGCTCTCATGATTTGCACGGCTAAACGAAACGTTCATCGAGTTCGCAGCCGTTCTGGAATGCGTACGTCACAACCTGTTTACACGTTTACATTATCAGGTTTTGAGTCAAGAGGCCGATCATCCTTATTGAAACATAGAAGTCACACTGGTTGGTATTGCAACTGTAGTTTGAAATTTCGATTATTTTGGCCGCGATCCATTCTTCACCTCCAGAACATCCTTGCTTGAGCAATGGTATTTCCTACCGCTGCTCTCCCTCTCCCTGCCTCTATCTCCTGGTTGCACGGCGCCTGGAACTTCAAGAGAATTCACGTCCTCCGGCGAGGTCCGCGTACAATACCATCGTTGTTTCTGCCACAAGAGCCTGACTACCGCTGTAGTAGTCCACCGTAGTAGTAGCCCAGCGTAGCGCCATCAAAGTGACAATTGGAAAGGTGCACAGTGTTTGCGAAGGTCGCGACTCCGTTCACCGCGTCAATTCACAGGAAACTGGAGTCGCAACGCTCGTCGGGATTGGGTTGTTCCATGTTTCGCCTTCCCTTGATCTTGGAACGCCCCCCTTCGTCCCCACGTCATATTTTATCCAATACTCAACCTGTTTGTTCAACGCACGCTGGCACCGTAGCACATACTATGGATATTTCCAATTATCATTCCGGTTTTTGCTTTTTGTGTCACCCCCTCCCCCCTCCCCGAGCGTGCTGTCTGTGCGCCACATATTACCCGACCGTGATTCCACATTTACCAACATCATCCCAATACAGGAAGAACACCTGCACGCCATGATCCGGGCTGGGCAAGCCTCCAGCATCGAAACCATCGGCGACTCGTTTGTGTACTTCAACGAGTACTCCGTCGTCTCGGACCCGGTGAAGGCTTTCTACTAGGCCATCCCCGACGTCGACGACCACACCAACACGACAGGTGCCGACGAGCAGAAGGAGCACCAACAGCAGAACGAGAACCAGCAACAGCAAGAATCAGAGCAGCAGCAGCAGCAGCAGCAGCAGCGGCGGCGGCGGCAGAGTCAGGTTCCCGAGCACAGGCACGCCCGGAGCGAGAGCGAACCGCCCCTCACCTCCACCGAGTCTTCCTCCTCGACCACGGGTGCTGGAGATCTTGCCTTGTACCCATTTGCCGACACTGATACTTGCAGCAACGACAGCAACATCGATTTCGATGACTACGACGGACAGCACCATCAGCACCATCACCAGCACGAGCAGCAACAAGAGCCCGTGCGCGAGTTGGAGCAAGACTTTCAGGAGGGGCAGCCGCCGCAAATCGACACCAACCCGCCCTTCAACCCCGCCGAATCCCGTTCTTCGCGTCAGACCGCGGTGGCCGACCAACAGGCCAACCCCAATAGCAACCCCGACGCTAGCACAAACACGACTATCGACGACGACATTGAGACGTTCCCCGATGCCAACCCCAGCCCCAGCCGCGACACCCACCCCGACCGTGAAGCCATACCAGAGACCAACCCCAGGAAGAAGGCTAAGAGACATCTTTGTACTATCGACGAGCTGGAAGACCTACCCAAGTCGACGCTGTCCTCTTGCGATCAGCTCTTTGAACCAGTGGTGTTTGCCAACGGTGTTCCGCAAGTGACAGCCGATATCGTTTGCAAGCGAAAACGGGTAAGCTACTATTGAGAATTTGTTGGAGTCTGGCGTGCCTCCTTCTAGTTTTGTGCCCTCGATCGTTATGTGGTGCATTCTATGTGTTACGCTCCGCCTCCCCTGTATCTCTCTTCCGGTCTCTGTCGGCCCTCTCTCGCCCTGAATGTCGAGACAGACGTATCTACTCACGTTGTGTAAATTTCAAGTACTGTGCACATTATCCACAGCTTCAGATGCAACTCTTTGCAAGATCAGGCTAATATCCCTGCGTTGCATGGGACAAACCATGCGCCCCTGTCACATCAATTTACCTATTCGAGACGTCGATGTCCTCGTTGCAGCTAGTCGCGGTGACTGGTTTCGCATAACCAGCGGTATCTTCGCCCGTGGGCGCCACATAGCAAAGGACACCTGTAATCTTCCCTCGATGGGATATGAGCGAATTTGATCGAGTCAAAATCAACGGGTGAGATGCAGCCAGGGTCGGGAGCCCCAAGAAATACGAGGACGATTTAACACCGTCACCACCACCAGCGACCCCAAAAACCACCATATCCACACCAAGACCAACACGAACCACACCAACAACGACAACGAAAATAACCACAACTCGGACCATGGAGGTCATGTCCTCATTTGCTGTCTAACGCCCCCCCCGCCCCCATTTCCTCTCTTTTCCGGATTTGTTTTGCTCTGTAACGGCAACCACCCCAACTCAAGGTTATCGAGGTCGAGGAAGAGGTGATTCTCCTCGCTGAGAATTCTAACCTCTACACTAAGAGGCTTCACTTCAACGTTCGCATGGGCGCTGCCCTGCGGATCGCCGTGGAGACGAAGATGGTGATCGAAAATCTCAAGATCTGTAGGTCTTCATGTTTCGCTCTTTCTCCATCATGGCATACTCTCATCTGTCGTCGTCGTGGCCGGAGTGACTGACTGCTGCAAATCTCGCTGCGGGCAATCGGTGGGAGGTGTCCTATTTCGGGCAGGGGGTGTTTGAGGTGCATGATCTTGTCGGCGCGTTCAAACCAAGGCCACATTTCGGTGCCCTTCCGCGTTGTCGTTGCTCGAGCACGTGTTTGATCTCAACGTGCGACTGCAGCAACCTTAGTGTTAGCTGTGCACCGTCGGCCTGCCTTCGGCCACGCGCACGTCTACCTTGGAGGAGGAGGGTCATGCACAGAGATCCCTGAGCCGTTCCCACGGCTTCGCGTGTGTAGGAAGATATTTTTGCGGCCTTTGTCTTGCCATGTCTGCTTGCCCTATGCCCCTCACGTTCTCTGCTGAAGGGCTACGATCCAGGGTCACACAGGAAACGCCTGTCCAATGCATAGGCAGAAGTATATGGGCATGAGCGTTACGTTCTACGTGGTGAACATTCTTAGGAGGGTGAGAAAGGGCGCACTCAAAGCGTCCACTTGTAACAGGTTACGATGAGGTCATTGACCGCAGTTGAGCAAAGCTTAGCTTCCACGTGAATGGCCTAGGCACCACACCCTGCTTTGATTGATTGGGAAAATCCAGCCGCGTCAGTAGTTAAGTTTGGCTGTATCGTTGTCGTTGTTTCTGGGGTGCAGGGGGACAGCCCAATCTTCACGGTCGAACCGGGAGGGTTTCTACGTCTGGAAAGCGGCGAATTCAGTACGCCGCCGGAGGGTGGTAACACGGTGAGCCAACCTTTTGCTGTTGTTGTTCATGGTGGTATTATGGAGATTGTTGCTGGTGGTTCCTGTCGGCATCGTCTTTTTGAGCAGAGTGAGTGTGCTCCCTTGTGGTCCAACTAAGTATACCTCCTCGTCTGTGCCCCAAGGTGGAAGTTCTGAATGAGACCTTTTCATCAGCCTTGACGGATTACACAGCACAGGCACAGCAACAGATCCTCGCTCCACGCATTCACACGAACCTAACCAAAAGCCGAAAGCCAACCTTGGCGCGTGAGCGCAACAATAGAAACCTAACGTTCAACATCAAACTTTACGCAATAAGAAGGCAGCAATATTCTTGACCTCTTCCGGCATTTAGAGCGACATATCGATCCGACAAAGTCGCATAAATCGTTGTTGAACAGCCGATGGGCAGGCGACGCAAGCAACATGTTAAACTTCACGAAACAGGTGCCTTTCGTGAAAGCAGCACGGCACAGGTTCGCTGTGGCAAGACCGACCCATGTGTTGCTACGGTTCACATGTAAGAGTTACCTTGCAACCACCGGAAAGACGCCGAGCCTACTTTCCCGCCACGGTGTACAACGCCCTAGACATCGCAATTCGAACTGGGTTCCGCTTCCACAACGTGATCACTCCGACTATTGGGTAGCACATGCGTCAAGGGAACCTATCGCTAACCCGCAACGTTGGAATATCTGCTGATCACCCCTCTTTTCTTTTGCTTACCTCACCACACGACACTTCTCTCTACTGCCCCCGTCCCGCTCTTCCTCTCGTGTGTGACCTGCAAAAGAGGGACACCAACTCCCGGTTGCGCGTGGATACGGGAGGGGAGTTTCAAGTCTGGGGTAAGACGTGGTTCACGAAATCGGCCATCCCGAAATCGGCCATCCCCTTCATGAGGCCCTGCACAAAGGGCCGCTCCTGGATCAGGAACAACAAACGCCGGAACGAGGTGCGGTGGACATGGGGGCAATGGAACCGACACCACCAACAGCAGCAGCAGCGGAGCGGCGCCCAGTCCGCCAGCGCTACGACCGCCCGCAAACAGCAGCCGCCGTTCTGCTCGCCCTTCGGCCCGAAAGTCTCGGCGGGGTACACTTTCTGGGAGCGCTTTGATATCAGCCCGTCATACCTCAAGGTCAGGAAGGGATGTTGGTCGTTGTTATGGTGAGCAGACGTTTCAAGAACCGTCTTGAGGTCCGGAACAGAGGAGTTGGTACCAGCATTGATATGAAACAAGGGACTGAATGTATACTATCGGTGGCTGGGGTTTCAAAGCGCGTGGGAAAAAACGAACGACACTTGGCATTTTTTTCCAACAAGCGTGGGGACGGGTTGAGTGTAGATGCCTCACGGGCAGGTATTGGCTACGTTTCGTTCTGTTGAATCCAATCTGCAAAGTATTCGTACGCATGATCGTTTCGACTGTTTGGTAGCCTTCCTGCAGAGGTTTGTTTGCGCTCCATCTTCGTTCATTCCTGACGCACTTCATCCTGCCATGGCCTCTTACAGTTGTCTGTGTCATGTTTTCAAGGTGGGTGAGGAGCTTCGATACCCGCCATCCATGACGAGCAGAATGGACGGCAGCGTCCTCTCCATGGGAGCAGACGGCACCCTTCTGCATGCCACCGAGGACAGGCAGAATCATTTCCGCCTGGAAATGAAGACGGTGGTGGAGGCCGCCGAGGCAGCCGAAGACTTAGACGAGCACGAGACGAAGACGGCCGTACCCGACATCACCGCAGACAGCGTCGACCCCGACAACGAACGCCTGCAGCCGAAGACGCTTGTCGCAGCTGACCCCGCTACAGCCATCGCCGCACTCATGCGTCGCCCAGCGATGACGGTCGGCGGGGGATTGACGTGGTCTGCCGAGGAAGAGTTCGATGCAGCCCTCCGCAAGGAATGGTCTCGTTTGAGGGACAAAGTGCTTGGACGCACGGCCAACGGACAGGTATAGGAGAACAAAGGCGCTCCTGGAAAGTCCCCACCGACGAAGACCGATGAGGGCTACGGCGGCGATGACAATGGGGATCCCCGAAAAACGAACCGGAACAAAGACAGGTGCGACCCGCGCACACGGTATTGAGTTTGTTCGTCACAATCTTGGTCCTTGCAACCCCAAGGTGACTTTGCGCTTCGGCGATTCTCGCTGAACGGGAGTAGGGGGGCTCCCAGGCGCGCCTTCGTATCGATCTGTTACAATTTCTTTGAGGGGGAGAGGAACTCACCCGTGCGCCTTCGCCGTTGACACCATGAATTGGCAAGCAGGCACGTATAGCCAAGAGGATGTATCTATAGGCGTCAAGGGTGGGCGTCGTTTGTCATCTTCCCATCGGTCGCTTTTGTCAGCGTTTTGTGTTGTGCTTGTTGTCAGAATCACAGGTCGTGATCGATTCCCGCTCGAAAACAAAGATTGCTTTGTGCGCGACAGGAACTAGCCAGCAAGAAGAAGTATAGGACTGGTTGTTGGTCAGAGTACCTTGGTTGGGGAGCGTTGAGAGCTTGGGCCAGGGCGTCGGAAGGGGAGAGGATGTTTCGCCATTCTAGCATTGCGGAAAAAAACTGGTCAATACCAATGTCATGCGGCTGCACCAAAACAAACAACAACATGGCGAGCGGTGAAGTAGACATTGGGTCATCGTCCTGTAGCAGGTGCACGAACCACATTGACGAGCTCGTTCAAGGCGATGACGTCACTCCATTCCTTACGTCCGATTATCAGGAGGAGTCACCGGCGGAACATCGTCGAAGAAGGAGGCGGGCAACGCAGCTGACAATGGGTTAACCGACCCAGACATCAACAACACCGGAATCTCTTGCGGCAGAGCCAGCCGTAGGCGAATACCGTGGGGCCGTAAGCGAATGAAGTGGAACGCTGAGGTCGCCGTCGACAGCGACGGACCGCCACCGTACTGGGGCCACGACATGGTGCTTAAGGTCACCGAGACCGGTGACGTGGTGAGTGAGAAAGAAGGGGTCAGGGATTGATGGGGTATCTATTGGAATGGCTATACCGGCAGTCAAAAACAATGGCAGACCAAAATCCTGGCGCAGGTAGAAGCGGTCGGTAAGTCAGTTCGATATTTTAGTACAAGCATTTGTTTGGGGCAGCAGGAGAGCTGGCCTTGGCGAGTATAAAGCAAGCAAGTCGAGTTTTATGGCCGAGCCTGACTCCACGTCATCGCCGTCCCGTCAATCCCTTTGGGTCGGCCATCGCGCACGTCACCCTCACCAGTAAATTGCCGAAGTTTCCCGCTCCCATTCCTTCGAACAGAGACTTTCACCACTTTTTTGGTGCGGCAGGCGTTTACATGGGCGGCCGTGAGCCTGAACCACAGCCCAGAGTAAGGTGAAACTCAACGAAATCTTGATCTGCTCCCTGCCACCATTCGTCTCAAGTCAAGTAGAACCCTTCAGTGCCGTCCGGGGAAAAAAGTCATGTCGGTCCATCGTAGGTCGGTGAATCTGTTCCCCGTTGCTACCTTTGTTTTTCAACATCCGTTTTCCGTTGAGAAGTCACGAATCTGGTGTCGCAGACACTAATCCCCGTGCTGGGCATGTGACTAAAGTGGTCATTGGTTCTTGCCCTCGACAATAGCCCATGACAATCACGATGAAGTGTGGGATGTTCTGCAGATCGGATTCCTGTCCAACACGACAACGCCATGCCGAGCTCTACCGTGATGCCGAACGGAATGTTGATGAACGGTGATTGTGTTGCTTTTTCATCTTGCCCAGCATATCGAAAACAACCTGGATGATATGTGATGCGGGTTGCTTTGGCTGTCGCCCATCGCATGGTTACCCTATCACAAGCAGGTGGTGAGACACAATGACCGCCTCAACACGACAGTACCTCTCTCGCCGGTCCCCAATTTTCCACCACACGGACTGTCAGGTTTGAGAATGCGACAACCCCTTCCGCGCACGAGGTCATTTTTGCGCAGTCTCCCGTGCCCACAGACTGTCCAGAGACATTGAGGCTGTGCGAGAACTCCGTTGCCGGCATTGGCTCGCACGGGCGGCAGACACAGGTGTACCCGTCGGGGCACGTTCCTGCTTGTTCGAGAGAAAAACAAGGCATGCGAAACGAGCTGGATTCTTTGAGGGCGGTTGAGGTCGCGACCGTTGTTGCGCACGTTTTATTGGCCTGACGCAGTTGGTGGAGCGGGGCTGTAGCGAAGAGGGGAAACCCCGCCTGGTCCGATTGGGCAACTCTTGAGACTATTTTTTTGTCATGCGTGTGGTCGCCGCGCAGTTGCTACCTGCAGCGCGATGTATTGTTTCTCACCTGAAGAGGTAATCGTACATGCAACACATTTGGCAGACAATATTGGTGGGCGACACAGAACTGACGGGAAGGTTGAAAAGGGTAGAACGTTCACGGTGCTTACAGTCGCCGCCCCCTATCGACATCAGAACCCATGCCCGCGTTCGGGGACACACCATCCGTCACAGAACTTCATCGTGCTATTGCAGCTCGAAACCACAGTACGGAGAAAATGAGAACTGCCATGGTGCTTCAAAGAATGTGGTGCGGCAGCATAAGGAATCTTTAAGGAATATCGGTTTTTGGGACGGAACCGACACATCAGAACGGTAACCTAAAGAAAGATTGTCATCTTCTTTGCGCATGTCTCAAATCGCGACTTGTTTCGTCGAGCTCCCGTATCCCGCTGTCTCCCTTGTACACAACCACCGACGCTGGGTAGCGAATGGCATCATCCGGACAAAAGAAAATTGTAAAATTTTACAGTTTACACAAACTTTCAACCCATCAAGAACATATAGGCTAACTGATGCAGGACGCCTCAGAACTTGGGTTGCTAGGCGTACTTACTACCGAGTTCCGTGCACTTAGAGTCGAACAAATTCTCGGCGATCTTGAAAAACCCTTCGGGGCACACTACCGCCCCGTACACGTTCTCGGACTGGATGCAATGCCCTTGTTCGGAGTCCAGCACCCCGAGCTGCACTTGTAGAGTTCTTCGTGAAAGGTACGGCATTACATGAATCAGGCGGTGCGTAGCAGTTGGTCAGGGTGAGCGGCAGCGAGTGGCGGGGGGAAAGGTAGAGGGAAACGGGTATACGTCCGTTGTTTGGGGATTTGAGTACGAGGAACTGGACCAAGTTGTAGGGAAGGATTAACAGGTTATGGCGGCGGGAGCTGCAACTCCCTAGGATAGAATTTTCAGAGGGGATTCTGGTCGTGAGGATCCCTGCCTGCAGGGCGCGCCACCAACGATTGTTCAGTCTACCAAAGCGACCAAGGCAACAGCAACCACTGCTGTTCAAAGAGATTCATCAAGAATTGCCACCAGTGTAAACCTCAAAATGCTCTCCGTGTCAGTACGTAGAAATCGCGAGTGTGGTACCGCATGGAAATTGGGACAAAATCAACCATGTTTCCAAATTGATAGAGTATACGGTTGTACTGCCCGACGATTCTCCCGGCCCCTCTGACGTTGTCCCAAGGGGGATCACGGAAGGCAACCCAAGGCGAACAACCTACGCAAATTTTGCTTTTTCCCGGCTTGAAATATTATATGAACTTGACTAGGGAACCTCGAAGGGGATGAAAAGCCAGTGTCCACTCCAAAGATACCATTCCAACGTCCATGAATATAGAACATACGATCTACCATCGCGCCCCAGATAGGGTCCGAAATCCTCGAAAGCACAAGCACACCATAAAAAATCAATACTTGGGTACCCTGCGGTCGCTCTCGTGAGAAGGAATATCAACGAAGTTCGTTCCCTTTTCTCAACATAGGGTGAAACACAGGTAGGTGAAGGTTACACAAAATCAACATCAAGACATCGAAGAAGGCCATTCTGAACACATGATCCCGGATTCGAGCGACAAACTCATGTGCGACAAGAACTTGCTGGTAAGGGTAATACTGTAGGGATGTAATCGACTCAGCCAAAAAAACTTGTCGAACTGTGCAGACGCTGTGCATGTAGCAGCAAACCCACCGCGGGGGGCGCCACATGATGGCAGAGATCAGCGATGCAAACCAGGGCATCCGCCACAGGCTTTTTATTTGCTGCACGGAGGAGTCTGTGGACAACACGACAAAAGAGCGGGCGACAGCAATCGAGTACTGCTCACAACACCTGCTCCCGTCGGTGTTTCTCCCTACAGCGGCCTCTTTATCCCAACCCCCAGTTTCACGAGAACCCGGGAACGGCCCGTGTTACTCATTCGGGGCTTGTCGTTTCTTTGAACTTTCAACTAACCTGAGGTCGGCGTAAGAGAGAGGCACATCCCACGTGGAGTACCCGCCGGACACGGCCGCCTCGTGGGTCTCGTTGATAAGCATAAGGGCACGCACCACTTCCTTGACAAGGTCCGACGGGACGTGGGGAAACGCCTGTAGAGGCCATTCTGGCACCAAATCTGTCGCTCGGGACACAGTGACGAGCGCGAGTTTTTGTCGGGGTGGTGAGCACGTTTAGGGTGACGTGATTCCTGGATGCCAATCTACAGCAACGCATTCCTTGACGATTTTGGGTGGCTGCTTGACAACAACAAGGGGACGGGGAGCGATGACGGACCGCTCGGCACTTGAAAGCTGGTGCTGTTGTTTGTCACTCTGTGGTTGCTCTGAGGCTGCAATTCTGCCTTGATGATGAGAAGGGAAGCTTGCCGTTTATTCCCTACCTCCTTTTGCCCTTGCCAACGGTTCATGGACAGAGGCGGACCCGCGAGCACATAAGCGAACCGAAGCGAGGTAAATATCTCGAGTGCACCAGAAACAACATGCCCCACCAAAATCGATCATATATCCATTCCGGGAGAGCAAGACAAATAAGTACAGAATCTCAGAAGATAAAACACAGTATATCCATTGTAAATCTCGAACATCGTTCGGTTCAAATTCGCCACCGTTTGCATGCCGTCCAGAATACGACCTGGGCAAGACTCAAACTCCCGCCAAGGTTCCATATGCGGAAAACCTACTCAAGCCAATTGTTCTATTCGAGAATCGAAACGAATCCTCTACCACCCCAGCTAGTTCCGAATTTTCGTCGTGTTTTCTCGAACGTCACGTTGAGTGTTGTTTCTTCGATATTTTCAACAGTGTATGGAAATTTGATTGGTTAAAACAAGAAACACAAGCTCAAGAGCCCCACACCAGAACCCGAGCACCACGTTTACCCCCAAGGATATGGACTCCTGAAAGTCTCGGCGTTTCAGATATCTGTGGGGGGGGAGCACTACCTGTGGAACAAGGAAAAGGAAACCCGCTGGCAGCGATATCCTCCCGGGCGAGAATAAAGTTGACATCCGAAATGTTGACTTCCCCTGTGACACACATTGCGTCCGGTGACAGCGACGCACAAATAGAGAACAAAGCGCGGTGGGCGTATGTGATGGAGGAACAAAGAAATGTATAGAGAAGGGGGCAAGTCCGTTGCTCCTAGCTTCGGGTATTGTTTGATCTCTTGTTTTAGCCTTCTTAGACCAGGTTCGCTCGGCGCCCACTCGGAGAGTGAGGGAACGGGTCTGGGATTTTGATCCTCCTTCAAGGTAATGTCCTTTGTCCTTTACAATGCCAAATATAAATATCCAACAATTTAAAATATCCTGAAGCGTCCATACAACGTTCATACAGCGCTCATACAACGCTCATACACTAGTTGCTCCATTACACGTAAGATCGGTTCGGATTCGTGGGGTGACGTCAGCGATTCAAGCGGGGGGGCGACGCGGTGGTGCAGAACGAAGCAGGGGGGCGTACTTTGAGAATGCCACAGACCCAGCGACGAACGCGACTGGAGTTGAATTTAGGACATGATTCTGCTTGAGATTTCGTTAGCCGTTAAAACAAGTCCGATAGGTCAGTAGCGGTCAAGGAATGCCTGTTGGTACAGGAATATTGAACGATCGTTGCTCTCACATGGGCCGAAACGTCTGTACTGGCTGAGGGAAAGACAGCGAGGCTTAGCAAGACGTACAAGGGGAATCGGGGGTGGCCTTTCACTTGACTTCGACACCCGACAGACATGTCGGAAATGTGTTCTTCTGTGTAATCATTGCGTCGGAAACTGGTGGCGTTGAGAGGCATGTACATCGCAGACAATTTAGAGACCACAAAGAACGGTGGGAACGACGCCCGATCAAGAATCAATTTCCACCAGATGCATATGATTTGCGATTGGTGCCGGTGTCACTCTATGCGGTTGCGGTTGGAAAGGGGCTAGGGTCCTGGTTGTGGGTGCTGGAAACGTTGCCAGCGATCATTAAAACACGATATCGCCACTCCTATCAACTTCATGCGGAAGCACAAATGACACTCACATCGTCGATGTGAGCCCATCTCACCTGCAGCATCCATAAGCTGGACCATATCGGTTCGAACGAAACCGACATCGATGTTTCCGTTGATGACGTCGTAGACAATCTGCAAGACGCAGTTTAGAAACAAGTGCGGAAACAATGTTGGTCTTGAAGCTACAGTTCTGCTATACCTATAGATACCGACATGCAGGATACTGCCGAAATCAGATTGCCCTGCCGTCAGAGCCCGCGTCGGTTTTGCGCAGAAGCTATCGAGATTTTGGAGCTCCTCGAAAGAAGGATCATGGTGCAACTACTTGAACTCGACGCGTGAGGGTGGAATAGCAAGGAAGGTAGCGAGGTTTCAGCAGTCGCAACAACATGAAGAGCAACACCAACAGATATCACAGCGAGCAACAGCAATAGTGTACCTCACCTTTTCTTGGTTGTACGTAAATCGAACCTCCTCAGTGTCCGCCATGAGGTTAAACCCCTGATCTTGGAGCAGACCCCACTGGAGCTGAAACGCCCCCAAACCTGACACCGATACGCCCTCGACAACTTTGTCCTGCGTGTTTGCGCGGTTCACGTTGCTGTCAGGGCAATATGCGCCTTGGGTCGACGGAATCGCTTTTTTTTTTGCGTGGCTCGTTTACGAGGTTGTTTGAGATTTGCCTCTCGCGCGTGTGGGCGGGACCAGCACGTGCGCGTTGCGAAAAATCTGGTGTACGTGTCGGACCCCGTTCCCCCAGAGAAACGAAAATAAACTCGGCAATCGCTGAAGGGAGACGGCGGGCTTCCTTCCAAGGACTATGTAGTGTGACTCTCGTCACCTACAAGTTGATGAAAAGGTCTCGATAATATTGCCAACGAGTAGGTAAGGCGATCGGTCATACCATTTTTGGTCTGACCTGCAAGTGTGCGACTTGTGTGATATCGCTTCAGTTTGCAGCCGTGACGACCACCCCTCCAAACGAGTTCAGCTCGTTCCCTAGGCGAAAGTTTCTCAGCGAGAGGATGGCACTGACCCCAAACTCGCTGAACAATGTCGCGGACGGTTGTCGTGTATGCAGGTAATTGGTAGAGACAGAGAGACAAAGACAAAAAATACAGGAGAGGTTAGGGGAAAGAAAAGAGAGAGAGAGAGAGAGAGAGAGTGTGTGTGTGAGAGAGAGAGAGAGAGGTGGACGGAGGGGAGGAGGGAAATGTTTCGTGGAGGCGTAGATAATTGCCATGCACGCTCCAGTCGTGTATCGAGAATAGCGCAACGTGAACATCGTACTTCGCTGGCACGTTCCCCCATTGTCGAAAAAGGAGAAGACATAGAGACATCGGAGGTGGACGGTGCGTATGCTAGAGTCCGCGCGGCAGCGAGGAGGATGAAGCAAGGGCTGTTTGCGAATATGTAGACCATGTGTTCGGCTCGTGGTCGTCGCCCAGGTGAGATTTATTCGAAAATAGAAAGCCTGCACGACTACCTTGCGGTTTCGCTTCTTGCAGCGGGGATACACAACGCGTGTTACCTTCCCATACAGCTGGCAGTGCCGGGGTTTGCGAACGAGAAGTCGACGCTCTCAGACGAGACGGAATTCCAGACGTCGTCGAAGGCCAGAGGGACGGCAATGAAGCCCACACCTGGGTATACTTCGCCAACGGTCTGGTTCAGGTAGGCGCTGAACGTCGGCTCGAAGGACTCGAGAAACGCCTCAGCCCCTGGAAACAGAGCAACAAGCCGACATTCTAAAGCAATGCGATTGTCGCGTTGTGTGACGTACAGACGCGATTAACGGCATTAGCCCGACGAGTTATGAGCCAGAGAAGAAGTGTCACATAATATGTGTCGTGTATGAAGACGTCAAGGTAGTTGATGTACGATCGACGCAAGTAAATGAAGCTTTAATGCACGTCGTGAGGCCCCCAACGCGCCCCTGCGTGGGGTTTTAGTTTATCGAAGGCTTGGAACGTCCGGGATGCCTTTCAACTATCGCGAGCGACTTCTCAAGCCTTTGGCTGTGAGATTATTCCGGTGATCAATATTCTAAAACAATTTGTTGAGGCTATTTGGGTATTCCATAGTGTGTCCCACCGACAGGCCATATAACGCGTTTGGTATGACAACGTTTACTGGGTTTTGGGAAAGAGACTACATACAGTAAAACCGTAGTCCCCGGCGGATTAGGGACAACAAGATGGACAACAAGATGGATGATGGATATGTTGGCTTTGCTGATAACGACGTTGCATGTGCGACTGAGGCACAACATGCGTTATAGATCGGGGATGATGCAGCGCTTCTCCCCGCACCGGCACGTTCACTATGCACTCCACCGTTTCGCCACAAACACCTCGAGTTTCCGATCGAGCTCACCCCCCTCCCGGAAATAAAAATATTTTCTTCATCCAAACATGCAAACTACACTACTAGAAGGACAGCACCACGTGCACGAAACAACATATCTTCACACCTACAGTAGGTACCTCCAGAGGGTCGGACGGGGGGAAATAAATCAAGAGCATTTTGTGGTCAAGAAGAGTGAACATCCAAACATTTCTGAGCCTCCGTCCGACCAATCAAACCCTGGCACATGGCGGGAATTCGGCATTGTAATCTTCGCGCCATCCCGCCCGACCCGTACAAAGCACAAACACCCACGACAAGAGAGTATGTTATACACCCACCTGTATTGGCTCCTCCTCCTATTCGGTATGTGATGTTCATCGGCATCACATCGGGCGGCGCTGCGCCGCCGGTTGCTGCTCACTTCTGCCGAGAGAAAAGCCGCCGCAAACCCGCACCGTAGTAACTCAACTTGACGCTCCGTGCTCTCTTCACAACACACAGGTCGAGAGCCCAAAGCAACTTTCGCGAGGTCCCCGTCCTGAAGTTTATATGCGTACATCTGCTCCATCAATGTAGGCTCAGGGACGAGTGTGTACATACTGCAATGCCTACACATACCCCACGGTTCGTTCAAGTTTGGACTAAATATTTCACGCAGCCATATTTCTCCATTGCCTCGTGTGGTCTTATCGCGTGGACCTCCTGTTTGTCTGCTTCCTTTCCATCTTGCATCGCCCCTTGACGACATGTGCCCTCATGAGCCCACGCTCTGGGGACCCGCTCTCTGAGAATGTGCTTTCCATGATGAAACTGCTGCTGTACACCCAGCCTGTTTCGTCCGTTCGTGCCAGAAAATCTCGCCGCATACGCGCAGGGATCCACACGCACGAGAAATCTGGAGGGAGTACTTCCGCTGCCCATGAGGCACTCACCATTGATTTGTTTAACTCTTGGTCAATAATACAGTACATTTTGGGCCAGGTTTGCTCAGCGCTCACTCACCATATGGGAATCAAGTATACAACATGATAAGTACCGACGGCCGTTTCATTTTTTGTTCGTTTGGTTCGTCGTCGGATTCCTCTCGGGCTCTTCGAGATAGTCTGCTGCCTGTGGATTGGTCTCCTGCTGGATTAGTCCTGCTGTCTGCTGCGGGTTTTTCACCTTGCGTCACCCCTTGCAGGCACTACACCCCCATGAGCTAATTCCTTGGGCATGCCTTCTCGTGTCTCGAGTAGCGTTCCTTGCATGATGAATTTCGACAGCTGCGGCAAGCTTCATTTATTTGTCGTCGAATGCTCTGTAGACAAAAGCACATGTACAGTATGCATAATGTGTACGACCCGACACTTGACTGCAGCTTGGAACAGCCCATTATTTCGGAATAGACCGATCACGCAGCGGCGGAGAGTTTTCGTTTGACAGATCATTGCGGTCAAGCCCTTGTCGTTGTGAGTAATCCATGTGTGCTCACAGGCAGGCAGCCCCGGACTCATAGCTTCACGCAGCATGGTTACAGACAGACGAGTTTGCACGCATTCCCGTGGCGGGTGGACGTAATTTTACTCTCCTCGGTCTGTGCCCTCTGTGCCGCAGGTAACAGAGCATTCCGTCCATTCCCGATATTTTGTCGTTGACCAACAGAGAACTATGTACAAGGGATGTATTGTAAAATGTAAGTTACCTATACAGATGTTTTTGTACTTAGGACCAGCTGGCATCACTGGTATAAATCATCAGTGTACAGACTTAAAAAGACTCGAAATAAGTCCAGTACCCAGCCGGTTTCCCTCCACTCACTGAAAAGACTCCACCACATCATCCCGTTCGACTGTGGGTATATCTCGAATGGGTAAGTCTTTCTGTGTGTG